TAGAGTTGATAGAAAGTTGCAAGAAACATGTTTTAAAAGATCTGCATCAAATATGTTTGCTCTAAATTTGTAGTTCATGTAAATGTTTCTGCTTTGCAGCTAAGTAACAGCAATGTCAATGAAAACTGCCTATGAAACATGATCATGAGTGATTAATGAAAGCACAGAAGACAGAAGATATAGGGAAGGATTTCTCAGAAGTTGTTTATATGGAAACATTCTCCCTACTTTAATATTACTTAGGATATAGGCAGTGACATTTTACATAACGCAAAACAATAGTTTCAATATTAAATAAATAAATGAAGCAAAAATTTTGCAAAATACGTAAGGGTCAAAAGAAGATACCAACTTAACATTGCATTAACTAACCTCAGGGTCTCTATCTACCCATAAAGGAACGAGCCATGCCAGACCTAGCTGAGAAAGAACTTGTTCTTCACCGTTATCATAAGGCAAAGACCAAAGAGATATCCAGTCCTGATTAGAAAACAAAAAATAAATTAAGAAATTATTTTATAAATCTTTCAATGCCATGCCAGTCTACCAAACAGCCTGAGCTACCAATTACATACGAACACACTTCAAATGCAACACAACACCAATATTGCAGGAAAAATATTTTGATTCTGCCTGTATAAACATATATTTAACCTGCTAACTTCACCTACTCAAAAAAATTAAATTTGTCTCATCTTCTGTATAGAATTAGGACAGCAGTACTAAAAACAGATTAAATATTTTACTTGGAATACTCTGATAATTATTTCCATTCAAAATTTACTCCTTACATTTTTTATTTTTCCTTAACATAATCTGTATTTCTCTTTTATATTACACATGTGCAGAGAACTACCAAATAAGAACATGCAATTATTTCTTTGCATCATAATTCATTATTTTTCTTCATGCATCTGCCACATGATTAAATAAAGTCACACAGACTACCACATAGTACTTAGCTGCAGATTCCATGAAATCATATTTGACTTTTAATTTCTGTAGTTCACGTTAAAAAAAACCCACATACCTGTGAAGTGCTCTATTTAACCATGGCACTGCACAAAAATGCATTAATTTCATAATGAATCATGATACCTAAAATTTTAGGTATGTGCCTTCTGACCATGTCAGTCCTGCATAGTTCTACAAAATAGATGACTGATGTTTCATTTGGAGCAACATATTTTGCATGGATCTTCTCAATACACACAATACTGATCACAAAAAGCACAGTATTTCAGAGTCTTTTAATTTGGGGAGGGAGGGCATTAAAATATAAAATGAAGTACAAAACATAGCTCAGCAAAGCAACACCAATGAAGTGATACTATAGCAAACAAACAAAACATTGCAGCAATTCTAGTACGACCTAAGTATATGCTCTGTTTCTCACATACTCCGACAAACATCTGTAAGCAACTTCTGTCCATCAGTATGAGCTAAAGGATCTCATGTGTGATTTAACAAGGTGGTTCTTTTAATAAGGAAGAATGGTAATGGTTCATAATATTGCTAATGAGCAAAAAAAAATTTGCTTTAACTAGTTTTAATTTCAAGTCATTAGACCGTGCATTTTAAGTTAGCTTTTTTAAATTTTATTTTATTTTTAAATCACATTTATCCATTGTTTTGCTTGTATAGCACTGCTTGCACAGAGGAAGAAGTTTCATTTTGTATTTCTCTTCTCATGAGTTTTGATACTAAGTCACATGATTGTAAACAACAGCCAGGATGTACAATTTCTTTTAGATTATAAATTATTAGCACAGTCTAGATAGTAACACTGTTGTACACACAGATTATGGTTTATAGCCACAAAAAAATGCCAACAATCATTACGCTACTATACATATTATTCTATGAGACTCAAAAAAAAAAAAGTCCTCTCTTTCATCCATACATTTACAATCTAATTCTTTGGAGGCTGCAGTACTCCTGCAGTGTACTTAATATTTTGTCTCCCTCCAATTTTAACAAACATTGTCAACACTTAATATCTTGAAAGAGTACAGAACTGAAGAAACAGTAACCTGGAATTTGGAGAAGCAGCCATACTGCTATTTCTAGTTACATGTGTACTTAGTCATATTGAAAGGCTTTCACTTGTGGCTATCACAGATATTAACAAGAGTGGATTTTAATTCTCCAAAATGATTACACTAAATTGTTGAATATGCTTTAACTGCTTGATGAATGATGAAGGCCATTTTTTCTAAACTCTCTAAAATTTAGCTCTCAACATATGCACATGGACTCAAAGCACAAATATTAACTTTGCAAGAAGTAATGATAGCTCCTTTTATAAGACAATTGTTCTTTCATGTATATATATTCTTTCATATATAGACACATGTGAAAATACACACATGTATGTGTAAACGTGTTAGAAAGCCTGTTATCTATACATGGCTGAAGAAATAATGCTGTTACAAACCCTTAAATTTATTCATCCTCCATAAAATTGTGATTTCTCAATTTTTATAAAAAGAAAATTATAGCTTATTCTGAAAGAAGACCTTTCTAAACCCACAGAATTATTTGCAGAATTATTTCAGTAAGGTTAGAACCAAACCTTCAGCTTTCTTGTATACTATACTCTATCCTATTAATTTATCTAACATTATATGCCAAATGAGATTACCAGATATTTTTTATTATTTTTACGATCTGTTGCCATAAGACTTCTTCCCCCTCCACATATGAAAATCCATTATTTAACTTTAGCAGTTAAAAATATATCTGTGCATAGCCCTCACAAATGACAAGATGAGGACAACTGTAATGCACTCACCATATCCTTGGCTTGAGCCATCATTTCATGAGATAAGTGAAGCAAGCAAAGAACTGTGCTTTTCGTAACACCTTTTCCCATGAAGGACATAGCATTTCCTCCCCATTCAACATAAAACGATGAGATGACCTAGGAGTGGAGATACAAGTTCATGGTAGCTTTACTGTAAAAACAGTATACAGGTAGAGTACAAACTGTCCTATACACTACTTTCAACTCAAGAAAAGATGGTAGATTTTTAGCTGAATTTTAAGAATTAAATTATTTTTGAGTCATTTTGTCATCAGAGGTTTAACCATATAGGAAACTATAATAAGTTCCATGTTTTTTATTTGCTTGTTCAAAGAATGAAGTGGAGCTTAATAATAAGCGCAATATTGAATAGAAACCTGAAAGTTTGTTTTTGATGGAACAGTCCATTTATTGCACCCAGGTTTTTATGCTATGTTTGGAATTAAAAATATAATTTCTTTTCAAAATTATGTGTTCAAGAAAAGGGGTAATTTATACCTTTCATTGTGATTTGAATTGGAATAAACATATCAGCTTTCTATATCAAGTGGTAATGAACAGAAACAATGTAATTTTAGGAGCAAAAATTAGTTGTCTATCACATCCATGGATTTACCAAACAAATAAGAACACTAAAAACAAGAATGAAATTTTGGCTTACCAACAACTGCAGCATCCTGAATTACCTCTTTTCTGCTTTCTCTGTGTTAATAACCTGCCTAATGAGTTACTGTTCCCCCAGATCCCCTTTCACACATGGATTTTGCCTGTGAGAGAATATCTTGGATTTTTCCTCTTAGCATTCCAGTTATCAAACAACAACAACAAACTCATCTATTTTTCATCTTGCTTAAACTATAGACACTTTATATTACATCTTAAATAGGGGATGGAGGCACACACAATACAATCAATCGTAAGTACAGATACACATCACTCAGTCTAGTCTCCATATTTTTTGCTATTTACTTAGCAGAAAAAAGCACCTTTCCCACACCTATTCCTAGTGATGATATTCACCGAAAGTACAGCCTATAAATTATAGTGTCATTAGTTACACAGTTCTTTACAAGCATTCAACCCAAAAGCTAAGTTATAAACTACCTACCTCAAGAAGACCTGTTAAATATTTCTTACAAATAGTAACAGGTTCAACTGCAGCTGAATAGGTACTCCAGCCTGGAAATGCAGTAACATGAACCATTCCTTGTAATGTTCTCTCCAGTGAAGGAAGTCCATAAAAATGTGGTGCATCTGTTAGCCTTAAGCACTGTAGCAGCTTCTGAGCCAGCTCAGTTCTGAAAGAGCCAGCAAGTTCCAAGCCCTCTCTGGTTTAATTGTAAAAACAAAACAAAAGAAAAAAATCAACTGTCAACATGGAGCTATTATACAAAGAGGCCAGTGCCTCATGCTTCTTACTGTTAGTCTAGGAATCCCAGCATTTCAATTAGTTTCTATTGCCTTATGCACAGAATAACATTAATTTGACGTTTCTAGCTTCACGTAGGTTCTGAAAGCATAATATTGCATCTGATTATTACAGGACTGCTTAACTAAAAAAGGACAAATGAGATGTAAGTCTAATTATTAAGGAGTGTAACTAAAGAGCAAGAGATTGAAGACAATGAATAACAACAAGGAGAGTTGCAAGTCTTAGTAGTTATGCTTATGTTTGTTCTGGGTCAAGAGACAAGTTTAAAAATTTTTCCTGCAAAATACCATCAATCTAGAATTCAGATAGATAGAAAATACAGGAATGTGAGATATAACTAGCAGGTATTTCTATAATCCTCCCTTATCCAGCTCTCAATATTTTTAGAAAATGAGTAACTGTATGGGAATAATGAAGGTGGTAACATTTTGAAAGTATCTTTACAAACACTTAAATAAACAAATATCATCTTAAACTGCAATGTTAGTATTTATCAGAATACACTTGGACAGAATGATTTAGTGTGGGAAGATATTATATTAGAAACTCAGAGAAAACAAACTGTTTGCTTGATTAATAGAAAAAGGTTGGTACTTCATGCTGGAAGTAGTTGTCCTAAATAATCACTAAATGTGCACTTATATACTGTATTAGGCCAAAAAAAGAGTTCAATGAAAATAAACGTTTGTTGACATTTCAAGTATTTCAACGTTTTACTTCACTACAAATAAATGCTACAAAATCAACCAAGTTATCATTTGCTTGTGCAAATTTCCAGCAGTGAAAAAGAAACAGCCCATCTTCTCCCTGAAAACAGTTTAACTATCATTTGCTGAAAAAGTGACCACTTTTAAAGTTTGCCAGTTAATTTCCTAATTTTACTCTGAAAAGCCCTATCTAATATTGACCTTCACTTTAAGAGGAGTATATTACATTTTTACAGTTTAAAATTATTGAGTCATGACATAATTCTATTCAAATTCTGTCCAAAATACAGCAGCAGTAGATATTATGACCCCTGTCAGAATTACACAGGCAGGTCCATTTACACTGTACCTGTCAGTCACCGACACGGAACAAAATAACAATGTGTTAAAAAGACGGAGGAGTTCTTTATCCAGTTGCTGCCTGACAGCAGTCTGTACTTCATCTATTTCATCCTGCACTTGGGATTCTGGTTGCACCAGGAAGCCCAAAAGTGATTTTGGCTTCTAAAAGTAAAGAATAAAAATACAGTCACATAATGTATTGTTTAAATCCTGTTTTAATACTCGCACTAAAACCATTTCTCTGTTGAGAGCTTGCAAATCACACACATTATAAATGACAAATTCCATTATCATTTTACTAAGAAGTATTTCTGTAAGAAGCAAAGTAAAAAATTCCTGTAATTATTAATTACTCGAATGTACTAAACATCATAGAAGAATCTACTGTTAAGGCCTTTAAAAATCTCCTGGCATTAAGCCATGATACAGTCTATTTCGAAGCATGAAAGGAAAGTCAAAGTTACATACAGCAATAACCTGCAATAAAAAAATAGATCACAAAAACAAAGAAACACATAGTAGAAATGTTAGTTCAAGATGTACCTTGTATGTCTCAGTTGCTTGAAAGACTTATATTCATTTTATATAAATATTTTGTATTACTATACTGAATGGGCCATACTTACAAAATTGTATAGGATCCACAGTTACAAATATAAATTTAAGTACCTGAATTCTGTAAGTAATTCAAATGAAGTCTACTAGAATTTTTTTCCTAAATGTTTAGACTGTATTTTAAAACGGGAACATGCAAGTGCATGCAGACTGTACTTAAGATATGATATCCCTTTTAAGACCAAGAATGATCTTCCATGCAGGCAGTAAGGCCTTGCTTTGTGAAGAACAGTATTTCTAAAACTGCTGCCATCCATTTATCTTTGGCATTTAACTATTGTTTCTATACAGCGAGATTGAATAATTTTATTTTAACAAATATAATAAAACTTGTTTTATACTGATTTATGATGTTAATTTCCTATTTGTTTTTATACTTTCCAATTTTACACATCTTAAATGAATTGTACAGAATGGATCTCTCAAACAGAAAGCACAGAAGTCTAGAAAAACTGAAGAGGGAAAAAAAAAATCACATTCAATATTATACATGCATTTTAACTACAGCAACTGAACTGTACACTCATATAATACCTCCCTCATGCTTATTAAAATATTTTACTTACACATATTATAACCATTTAAAATCAAAACTCCAGTGACAAACACAGTGCAAGCAAAACTTCTGTCCTAACTTTCAATTCTTGCTCTTAGTGAAAGACAGATAATGTTCATTTATATCTCTTCCCCAAACAGAAGGTTCCAACACACCTGTATGGAACCTCATCCTTTAAGTTACATAGATAATACATATGTAGTTAAGTAGCTAAGCATTCCTCACACAAGTGTATATGTATGCACACACATATGTATGTATAGTTACATAGTTAACTATGTCATATAAGTATATATAGTTATATGTACATATAGAGCTATGCATAGCTAACTATACTTATATGGCTTTATACAACCATATTACCGTTCTGAACTACACCAGAGCAAGGCATGCACAGGTAGATGATGTTTGTTTTTGATTTGAGTTTTGAAAAGCAGTTCACATAACAAGTAAAGGAGAGAAGGGAACTTAACTCCTGTTCAAAGTTAATTTCCCCAAACACTAAAACTGTAGCACTGACCACAAAGTAGCAGACATTAACATCACAAGATCTGCTATTTCATGCTTTTGTTGCGAGAAGTCATTTTCCTTGAGGAACTCACCAGTAACAAAGTTCCTCACCAGAAACAAACCAGCCAACTAGTTCACACTTACATCATTTCTTACAGTCTACAGCTAACTTTTTAGGTATATTCTTACATTTTTAAGCAATGATTTCAGGATCCACTTAAGATGGTCTGACTCCAAACTTGATCTCTGCTCTCTGAGCAATTTGTTTAAAAATCTTAAGACATCCACTAAAAGCTTCTCATCCTCTACAGAAGCTGGAAGCACTTGTAGAAACCTGCAAAGCAAATAAAAATATTTACTTTCACACTTGTAACACATTAAAAAAGAGCTTAAGTTTTCAGCCTAATAGGAGTGGTTATCTACAAGTGTGAAATTATATAGCATAAATATGTATATTAGATATATTTATCTATAGCAAATATGGAATTATATTATGTTACAGATATATTAAATTACATATACTTAAATACTTTTACATAAAACAGACTGTTATGATACTTACATACTATTATACATTTATTGTGTATTATTACAATATAAAATTATCATGTATATTTAAAAGTGTATTTACAGATAGTAAACATGGAAATGCATATAGTGAAACTTAGAAAAATCTGAACAGGGCCACAGACAGGAAAGAAAAAAGGTAATTAGATATTAAATACTAACAATTAATAACAAAGCTTAACTACGCATTTTAATAATCCTTATTTTAAATACAGCATTCTTATTTTTTGCTAGTTTTGTGTATGCAAATTACAGAACTGCATAACCATTGAGGTTGGAAGGGACCTCTGGAGGTCACCTCATCCAACCACCCTGCTCATGCAGGGACATCTGGTGTCAGTTGTGCAGGTCCTTGTCCAGCAGGCTTTTGAATACCTCCAAAGATTGAGACACCACAACCTCTCAGGGCAACCTGTGCCATTGGTTGGTCATCTTCGTAATGAAGAAGTGTTCCTGATGTTCAGAGGGAGCCTCCTGTGTTTTGGTTTGTGCTCACTGTCTCTGGTCATGCCACTCGAAAGAGCCTGGCTCCATCTTCTTTATACCCTCCCTTCCGGTACTTGTACACATTGATAAGATCACCCCTCTGAGCCTTCTCTCCTCCAGACTAACTTGTCCCAGCTCCCTCAGTCATTCCTCAGAGAAACGCTCCAGTTTTTCATCCTTTTTGTGGTGCTCCGTTGGACTCTCTCCAGCAAGTCCATGTCTCTCTTGTAGTGGGGAGTCTAGAACAGGACACAGCACTCCAGGTGTGGCCTCATGAGTACCGAGTGGAGGAGAAGGATCACCTGCCTCATCCTGCTGGCAGCACTCTTCCTAATGCAGCCCAGGATGCTAATAGACTTCTTTGCTAAAATGGCACATTGCTGGCTCATATTCAGCTTGGTGTCCACCAGGATCCCAAGGTCCTTTTCCCCAGGCTGGTCAAGCATGACTTTCCCTTGGTGAATCCATACAGACAACTCCTGATGATCTTCTTGTCATTCACATGCATAGAAATGGTTTCCAGGATTGACTGCTCCATCACCTTCCCAGGGATCAAGGTGAGGTTGACTAGCCTATAGTTCCCTGGGTCCTCCTTCTTGCCCTTAATATCAAAGTGCCATTGGCTTTCCTCCCATTCTCAGGCACCTTTCCCCATCACCTTGACCAACCAAAGTGGACATGAAATTTCATCAGGCAGGATACACTCATGGGTGCATCCAATCAGGGCCCATGGGTTTATGTATGTCCAGTTTGCTCACATATTCCCTAAACTGATCCTCTTCCACCAGTGATAAGTCTTCCTTGCTCCAGACTTTCCCCCGGTCTCGGGCCTGGGTTTCCTGAAGGCTGGTCTTGCTAGCAAAGACTGAGGTGAAGGTGGCATTCAGGACCTCAGCCCTTTCCATGTCCTGTGTCACTGGGACTCTTCAGCA